CGCCCCACTGTATATTGAGCAGGTCAAACATAGCATGAATAATTAAATGTCCCTACAGAGGATCTAAATTTCATGACCTATGTCCATTGCTGTTAGTTGGATATTTGTAAAACCAAAACTCATACCATGTGTTTAAAATTAAAACAAAAAACAAAAACCCAAGAGTGGGCTCAATTTGTATGATTTTTTTGAGCTCTGTGAACCTGAATCTGACTCTCAGTTTACATAGGATTGAGTAAGCATGCCCCAATTTTGCAAGGTAAATCTACCAGCATCTTCTTCTCCAGAGTACAGCTGAGACAAAAACATGTTTGCAAGCAATCCAGTTCAAGTGCCTACAAATCTAGCTTTGTGCTTGACACAGACAGTGTAATTGTGGGATGAGTCTTGAGTCTCCTTCACACAGTCCCTACAAGGAGAGTGGGGAAAGGATTTGATCTTTGGCCCTGATCCTGTACTCCACCCTGTTACAAAAAGGAAAACTCAACAGTGGTAAAGGTATTATAGGGCAAGTGGTAGAGCAGTTGATTTCCATGCAGAAAGTCCCACATTTAGCCCTGACATCTTCAGGGAGGACTATAAAAGCTATTGGGAAAAAAAGAGTCACAGCCAACCAGCATAGATAATACTGAGTTACATGAACTAATCATCTGTGTTAGTGTTTTAGACTAACAAAATCCAGCTATTGGCTAACAAAAGAACTGGATAATTCCAGTAAAACTCATATTACGGATTATTTCAGAACACTAGCAATTAGCGGTATGCAAAATTTGAACCATTTCTAGAAACGTAATGTAGTTATTGAGGTAGCTTCTACTACTGTTTAACATTATCTTAAATTGTGATGTGCAATAGAAAACAGACAGGTGTTCTTTACGGATCTTCTGCATATTTACTTCCTGTTTGGAGGTAGTGTTATAGATTATCTGGCACTGTCAAGTTTATCCAATATTTTATAGTAGATGAAAAGCTGGAAAGTGAACAAAGCCACAATTTATAGATTTTTACAACTGAATTTTTGCAAGGGTCTTGGAGTGAAGCCAAACCTAAATCTAATATATTGTTTGTAGTTTGAAGTGGAATTCATCATTAGAAAATACAGTGGCAAAGTATTACACTTGCCTACCTTTCCAGTTCATTCAAAGTTTCCTTTGAAGCAGTCACATTTTACCAAAGATATTGTTGACCTGTTTTTGCATTTACACATGTTCATACATGCATCCAAACAGGGCAGTCAGTGCCCATTTGGTTTCCATTGTAAATACATAGATATGTTTAAGTTTCCTATATCAGTAGCAGCTGAATTTGTTAATTGTTTCTGTCACTGGCATTATGTCTCTGATGGTCCATTTATACATAAAAATAGACAGTTGTAAGTGCCATTATCTAACCTTTGTGTAGGAACCAGCCCATTGATTCAAATCTTTCTGCACTCATTTTTCTTCCTGAGCGTCAGTAAATGGATCTTTTATGTAAGGGAGTAGATCTGTTCACATTGTTTATTTCATCTGCTACTGCATATATTTATTTCTTTATCCAAATTAGTATACTGAGAAAAACAACTATTGGAAGATATAACTTACTATCTTGTGCTATGATAAAATTGTGCCTCTACCTACTGGCTTTCAACACTAATTTGTACTAATTGTCTTATTTGCCAAGTTTGACGAATCTGTGTTTAGTCATTTCTGTTTCATAACAGAATAAAATCAGGTTCCAATTTTTAAGAAGAATAACTTTAGTTGGGTATAATTCACATATTTTGAAGAAAAAAGGAAGGTAGAGCCACAAATTCCAGAAGAAAATAATGCTGTTTACAACACCTGGCAATTTGTATATGGAACGCAATTTATCATGATGGTTATATGTAGTTTCCAAATCCAGAGAAAAGTACTGAGTACCAGTTGCTGAGGGGTGGGATGAATGGGACTTAAGTAGAAGACTTAATATGTCACTTTCAAAGAGGTTATATACAATTATAGTACATAAATTAATCATTTATCTCTTTTTTATTCATAAAATTATAGAGTTGAAAGGGATCTCAACATAGGTTCTAAGGCCCTGTGTTTCCATTGTGGTCCTCATTGCTGAACCAGTAATCTGCTCTTTTTAGAGTGGTATGTTTGGGTCAATGAGAACAATGAAAAGTCTATCACATCTGCCCCAATTCACATATAACAAAGGAAGGTGTCTTGTTTCAATGAGAAAAAGAATGTCAGGGAGGTGGGGCACTTGCAGAAAGTGACATCATTTTATAGATTCACCTTGACTCTGATGGCCAGAGTGCTCTGCTTCAGGGTAGTACCTGGGTCTGAAGAAGTGAGCTGCTCCATCTTAACTCCTGTAATCAAGGCATTTTCAGGGCATTTGGTAGGTTGCAAACCCCCACAACAACCCTGTGAGGGCTGAGAGAGTGACTGGCCCAAAGTCACCCAGCTGGCATCCGGCTGGGT